TGGAATATGGGGACTTGGACAAGGCCTACTGGTGCAACAAGGACACCCTCAAGGCTATCTATTAAAAGGATCTACCAGCACTCAAAAGCTGTCACTATCCTTCTTGCAGGGGCAACTCAGCAAACTCTCTTTGCCAAGAGCCTCCAGGAGGATTTCCAGCTTTTGGGGCTCTCTTTTAACCATTTTTCCCATCACTCTAGCTGGGACTATCACCTGCCCTACAGGGGGAACAGCCCACAAAGTTCACTTGCAGGGATGCCATTAACTCAAAGTCCCTTCTCAGGGGGTCACTGCACACCTTGTCCTTTGTTTGCCCTCCCAAGCAAAGATGCTTCCAACACTTCTGACACATCTGGCAGACCCAGAGCTCTCCTCAGGGAAGGCTTCAGCTGCTTAAAGGCTGCCCTTGCACCATCTAGCCAAGGCAGCAAATGCTTACAGGCTCTTCTTAAAAGCTGGTATAACAGTCTTACCACACATCCAGAGGGAGCAATCCAGAGTCCACCCCATCCTACAATTCCCAGGAAGGCAGTTCATGGGCTGTCTGTGGCTCAGGGAAGAGTCAGGTGGCTTCCTTTTGCTTTCCTATCCTGCTTTCCAAATTTGCGCCTGCAAAAGGCCAAAGGTTGCTTGGCTTTCTTGCTCAAGGAATGGCAAGGCAAAGGCTCCTTTTCAATAATAATACTGAAACTACTCCAGGTTGTCATTCAAGGTGGTTCTCTCAGGTCCTGCACTCATCAATCATCTTGGCCATTGGTTCCTTGGCAGGTTCTTGCATTCACGTCCTACAAGCAAACCAGGATGAGCCAATTTAGCTGTTACTGCAACCAATCCAAGCTGGAATTCTGATTTTAAAGGATACTGGCTTTGCCTTACCCATATAGATCCCACATCAGGGGTAATACCTACAGGTTCTGCCCTCTTCCACTCTCCTGCAAGTCCACTGGCCCACACCACAGGAACAACTGCAGCTGCCACTTCAGTCGGGACCTTGCTGCTGACAGGAGTTATTCCCTGCACAACAAGAGCTGCTGCTTGGACACATTTAGTCTCAGGAATTACAGTTTCAATATCCCCCGTTTTCAACTTCATTTTTACCTAAAGTTTTTCAATCAATCTCTTCCTAGCACAGGTTTGGGGGAGTTTGGCAAATAGAGAAACTGAGGAATTAGCCAATGTTTTCCCAGTTTAATCCTTAAAACACTAATCACCTTAACACTGCCAGCCCTTAATTCTCCCTCGATTGGGTTAAGGACTGAGGAAGTTGGACCTGTGTCTGACCAGGACATGTGCAAACCAAATGATGGGGACTGGAACACACACCTTGCACTCCTGCAGCTCTTACCATCACATTCAAGAGAAAACAGCCAATTGGACCCTCCCTGCTCATTTCTTAATCCCAATCCCACACTTCCTTTGCACTTGGAGCACCACTTTTATCACCCAATTCCAGCCCATTAGAGAGCTCCATGTCTAGCAGGGACAGCTACACCTGGGATACTCTCAGCAATGCCTGAATCCATGGCAGGGACCTTGCTTTGAACTCCCCAGGGCCGGGCACCCCGAGGATCTCCCCGAATAATCCTTTCGGTGCGCGCTGGCGTCCTCGGGGTGCCCCAACCCGGGGGGCACCAACAGCACTGTCCCTCCAGGGGGGCCCAATTTGGTCCCAAAATGCAGGGGGATCTTGCCTGTGTCCCAGACTGGTCCGGGGATCTGAGGCCCCTCCCGAGAAAATCTCGGTGCCGGCGTGAAGGGCCAGAGATCCCTTGGAGCCACGGGAGAGCAGGCACAGAGTCCCTCCTGCAGGGCCAATTCTGCTGCCTGAACTCAGCTCTTCAAAGAAGCCTCTAAGACTCAGTTGGTGAGGTTTAGAAGCCAGGCATTCCTTGCTTACAACACCCTGCCACGATCCCAGCCCACCGAGTGCCCTGGCAATCAGCTCCCAAAGGGCACACACAGCTATCTCCACTGCAGCTAATGGGAGGGGTCAGCATTACATGAGGGTTCATTATCCTTCCCTGCATTCCTGTTCCACGTTCAGGACATTTTCCAACACTCACTACCATACACACCTACCCTTAGAAGGTTTCCAAGGGGCTTCACCGAGGGCCTTCGGAGGTCTGCTCTGTCTGGAGCCCTCAAAGTCCTCAGTGCCTGCCTTAGGAACCTCAAGACAACTCACCTGCTGACACAGGAACTTGGTGCTGCTTGGCTGCTGCCTCACTTCCCTTCTTCCTTCTTTCTTCACCTCCCTTGGTTGGTCCCTTTAAATCCCTTGGCTCAGCTCTGTGCAGTTTCCAGGCTACATCCCACTGCAAAAAGGATTAGCTCTTGTTACATCTCAACACTCAGGTATCATACCCACTTTTTTCTTGACACTTGGCCATTAGGCCAGTGTCTCGTTATTTAAAGCAGAGTTTGACTCCTCAGTGACAACAACAGCTACAGCCCTGAATCATAACACAGGCTGAGACACAAACACAGATGGGAACTCTGAAGGATCCACTTTGTTCTGCTCACCAATCAAAAGGAGCTTTTTTAACTCAGGAATAACAGACCCCAGGTCCTTTTTCTGCAACTTTGGCTGCTATAGATGTGACCCACAAGACCTGCAAAGGCCCTTCCCACTTCCCCTGCAGGGCTGGCAGTGCCACCACTGGACACGGCCCCAGTGGCTGGGCAGGAACGGAGGGGCTGGAGCGTCCAATCCATCGGCCCAGGCGGCACCAGGAGTTCCTGGAGTTCCTCAGGGGAGAGCCTCAAGCCAACAAAGGATTATGGAGATCATTTTAAACTTCAATAGGCATATCTCCTGGAATATGGGGACTTTGACAAGGCCTACTGGTGCAACAAGGACACACTCAAGGCTATCTACTAAAAGGACCTACTAGCACTCAAAAACTATCACTGTCCTTGTGTCAGAGGTAACTAAGGAAACCCTGTATGCCAAAAGCATCCAGGATGATTCCCAGCTTTTGGAGCTCTCTTTTAACCATTTTTCCCATCACTCTAGCTGGGACTATCACCTGCCCTACAGGGGGAACAGCCCACACAGTTCACTTGCAGGGATGCCATTAACTCAAAGTCCCTTGTCAGGGGGGTCACTGCACACCTTGTCCTTTGTTTGCCCTCCCCACCAAAGATGCTTCCAACAGTTCTGAGAGATCTGGCAGACCCAGAGCTCTCCTCAGGGAATGCTTCAGCTGCTTAAAGGCTGCCCTTGCACCATCTAGACAAGGCAACAAATGCTTACAGGCTGTTGAAAAAATTGGCATAACAGTCTTACCACACATCCAGAGGGAGCAATCCAGAGTCCACCCCATCATACCATTCCCAGGAAGGCAGTTCATGGGCTGTTTGGGGCTCAGGGAGGAGTCACGTGGCTTCTTTGCTTCCTTCCTGCTTTCCACATTTTCTCCTGCAAAAGCAAAGGTTTCTTGGCTTTCCTTGCTCAAGGAGATGCAGCAAAGGCCATCTTTTCAATATAATACTGGAAACTACTCCAGGTTGTCATTTAAGGGGGGTCTCTCAGGTCCTGCACTAATCAATCATCTTGGCCATTGGTTTTCTTGGCAGGTTCTTGCATTCACGTCCTACAAGCAAACCAGGATGAGCCAATTTAGGTGTTCCTGCAACCAATCCAAGCTGGCATTCTGATTTTAAAGGATACTGGCTTGACCTTACCCATTATAGATCCCACATCAGGGGTAATACCTACAGGTTCTGCCCTCTTCCACTCTCCTGCAAGTCCACTGGCCCACACCACAGGAACAACTGCAGCTGCCACTTCAGTCGGGACCTTGCTGCTGACAGGAGTTATTCCCTGCACAACAAGAGCTGCTGCTTGGACACATTTAGTTCCAGCAATTACAGTTTCAATATCCCCAGTTTTCAATTTCATTTCTGCCTCAACTTTTCTACTCAATCTCTTCCTAGCACAGGTTTGGGGGTGTTTGGCAAATAGAGAAACTGAGGAATTAGCCAATGTTTTCCCAGTTGAACCCCTGACACACCAATCACCTTAACAGTGCCAGTCCATCATTCTCCCTCTATTTTGTTTAGGACTGAGGAAGTTGGACCTGTGTCTGACCAGGACATGTGCAAAACAAATGATGGAGGACTGGAACACACACCTTGCACTCCTGCAGCTCTTTCCATTACATTCAAGAGAAAACAGCCAATTGGACCATCATTGTTCATTTCTTAATCCCAATCCCGCACTTCCTTTGCACTTGGAGCACCACTTTTATCATCCAATTCCAGCCCATTAGAGAGCTCCATGTCTAGCAGGGACAGGGACCCATGGGATACTCTCAGCAATGCCTGAATCCATGGCAGGGACCTTGCTTTGAGCTCCCCAGGGCCGGGCACCCCGAGGATCTCCCCGAATAATCCTTTCGGTGCGCGCTGGAGTCCTCGGGGTGCCCCAACCTGGGGGGCACCAACAGCACTGTCCCTCCAGGGGGCCCAATTTGGTCCCAAGGCTTCAATGGACAGCCCAAAAGGCATTTACAGAGTCCTTCTTTGGAACCCACCAACGGGGACAGGGAGGAAGCCACAACAAGGCCTCATTTATAAAGGCAGAGGGATCTTGCCTGTGTCCCAGACTGGTCCGGGGATCTGAGGCCCTTCCCAAGAAAATCTTGGTGCCGGCTTGAAGGACCAGAGATCCCTTGGAGCCACGGGAGAGCAGGCACAGAGTCCCTCCTGGGGGCCAATTCTGCTGCCTGAACTCTGCTCTTCAAAGAAACCTCTAAGATTCAATTGATGACTTTTAGAAGCCAGGCATTCCTACACACTATGAGGTATTTTAAAAGCTTACTGAGTGAATAAACATCAAGCTTTTATCAGTGACATCTGATCTCAAACAGACAGCTCCTTTCTCCTTTCAGTACAAAATTATTTTCATGGAATCATTTAAGAGGAAGTGCCCAGGAACCCCAGACTGTGCTTTCCAGAACAGAAGATAAACAGAGGGAAGGAGCTTTGCATGAGTGTAACATACTCCAGAACACACCTGACTTTAGTTTTACTCTTTATGTTCAAATATAGCAGAAGACAAAAACTCCAGCAGGAGAGCTGGCACATTACCCATGGTACCCTGAAAGTCCACCTTAAGAGAGCTGGAGAAAAATCACAGTTGTGCCAGTCCCTTTTGCCTGCAGATGCCTGGGGATCCTCTCCATCCACCTCATGCTCTCCCAACAGCAGAAAGGGTGACCTCGGGGACATGGTGGCACTCCACATCCTGCTGAGAGAGCAAGGAAACCTTTAGCAGAAAGGGGAGTTGGAATCTAAAACTTCCTTTCCTGGGAGCTTTGTGAAGCCTGCAACCAAGAGGGGGAAAATTTGCATCTCCTTTGGTGCAGGTGTCAACAGAGGCCAACAGAGCTTGCACCTTTTTCAGACAACTGTGCCCCTTTTGGCTCCCTGGCAGCTCCAATGGCACCAGAACCCCCTTCCTGCACACCCACGGCTGTCACACACAGGCACCCACACACCTTTGCTCCAGCCCACACGTGGCCAACATTTCCTCACCCTGCACATCCCAAGGGCAGTAGTTTTGCTAGAGAGCACAGCAACCCCCCTGTCCTCACAAACTGCCTCCCTGCAAAAACAGGAATCATTTCTCCTGGACACTTCGCCCACAGTCAAGGGCTTTTCAAATGTGCTCAGGGTCCCTCCCGGCTTCTGCCTGTCCTTGCATTTCAAGGCATGGGCATGTTTCAGCAGCAGAACCCAGCTCCTCACCGGCACTATAAGCCCTGCTCTTACCTGGACAGACTCCCGGGCTCGGCACAGCTGTGGCTCATGGAGCAGCTTCCCAAGGCCCTTCTCTCTCCCAGCAGGAAGCACAACTCGCCTCCACTCCCCAGCACCAGGGGAAACCACGAGCCAGGCTGCAAATTGACACAGAACGAGCAAAAAGCATTAATGCAGCACCAGAAAAAAACAAGCTAAAGCAGAATTGGCCTCGTAACCCTGCACAGGGAAAGGGTTTGGAATTCCAAAGCAAAACTCGATCCACCCAGAGAGCACCAGCCCCGCAGTCCTGCCACGGTTCCCCCAGGGTCACCCGGCAGGGAAGGGGTTTACCCGGCCCCCGCTGCCCAGCACAACGCGCCCCTAAACGCCCCCCGGCTCCCCCGCTCCACAAACCCAGCGGCCAAGGCGCTCTCCCCTCCGCAGCCCGGGCAGCAGCGGGGCCGCGCCCTCACACACAACCGCCCGCACCCGCCCCGCCGGCCCTTTATACCGCGGGCCGGCAGCGCTGCCCAATCAGCGCTCGAGCGCCGCCGCCCAATCCCAGCCCGCCGGTCCCCGCGGCCCCGCCCCGCCCGCTCCGCTGAGGGAGATCGGGAACTGGGGACAGGAACCTGCTGCTGGGGGAGACACCCTGGACATGGAATTGCACACGGGCACCTGAAGCCCAGGCGATTTGCTTGCCTTGGCAAGGCCCTGCGTTGCTCCCAGGCACAGGAAATCTCTGTTTCCCTGCCCAGCCCTGGAGACAGGTGGCCCCTAAAATCCCCGGCAATCAGGAAGCCCAGGCTGCAGGAGCTGGCAGGACCCAGTGGCCGTGTGTGCCGTGTGACACCGTGTCCTGCAGCCCCACGGACCTGCACAGCAGGGACAGGTCCTGGCAGCGTTTCAGTGCCGAGGCCAAAGCTGGGGCTCAGGGACAGCTGGGGCACATGGCAGCTCTGGGAATCTCTGCCATGGATGGCTGGGCATTCCAGGACTGCCTGCTGGGCAAAGGAGCTTCTCTGCAGACTGTGGAACCAACAGGTCTCATGGACTGTAAGAAGCCAGAACTGCTGCAGGACTGTAGAGGAATCTGGGTCAGAAGAGACAGTTCAAGGTCTCTCAGTCTGACCTCCTGCTCAGGCCACAGTCACCAATGGGATCGGACCGGGCTGCTCAGGGAGGGATCCAGTCATGTTTTGAAACATTCCACGGATGGGGATACAACAACCTCCCCAGGCAACCCATTCCATGAGCGACTGCCCTGACAAAATACCTCCCCCTCCTATGCAGTTGGAAGCAACAGCTGGGCTGGCAGGAGCAGAACCTCCCTGCTGGGCCATTCCCCAGCAGCCCAAATGCCCTGCCCAGGGCTTGGTGCGGAGGCCTGGGCGGCTCGTTCCTCCAGCTGGGCATTTTAGGAGCTGCCCTTGCCCCGTCCCTGCCCTCTGGCAGTGGTGCAGCTCCTCAGCTGGAGTGCCTCTGAGGGACCCCCGGCCACGTTTCCCAGCAGCTGAAGGAAGGGAGGGTCACCCCCCAAGCTGGGCTGCCTTTCTCTCGCTGCCTTTTCCCCACCTTTACACTGCAGTGACAAGAGCTGCACTTTCCCAGGGAACGGGGCAGTGCCAGGGGAGAGCAGCAGGCAGGAACCCCCTTCTTTTCTGCAGGCCAATGACTAACTGTGTGTGAAGGGACAGCGACTCTGGTACCAACTCCACCTCCCACTTCTTGTCACAGATCGATCTGAGGCACTTGTCAGGTTAATATCTGCCCTTTGCAGGAGCACCAGGCTTGTGTTCAGTGTCCTCATTGTAGCCCACGAATCCCTCTAGGTGTTAAATCAGCCTCTCTGTCCTGATTCTTCTCATGAAGAATTAGCGTTTAATGAGAGATACAAATTATCCTGAGAGTGTCTATGTTACAAGCTCAGTTTGGCAGTGTTGCTATCCTGGAAAGTGTGGGACAGGGACTGTCAGTTCTCCTTATGCTGCTCTTAAACACCATCCCTACATTGCCAGGAGAACTCTGGAGGGAGAGACAGAGAGTTTAAAACACGAAACCTTGGCATCGCAATTGTTATTTCTAAGGATGTGTTTCTATCTGATACAGTTGTTGGGGCGATTACTCTGGAGAGTGTTTTGTACCTCAGGCAGTAAGTCTGATGGATCAGCCTCCTCGTGAGCAGGAACCAGCACGTTCCCCAAAGGAATGTTCTGTCAGACTCTGTCAAACACAGCACGGAGGTGAGCAGGAGTGGTGCTTGTGCACAGTTGAAGTGAAGCTCCCTTGGATTCGGACTGCTCTGGGAGATCTTTGTTGAGATGGGTATTTCTGCACAGCTTCTTGTGCCATGTTGAATTTAGAGATGAGCTGATAAAGGCAGTGACACTGTTCTGTCATCACTGAGCTTTTGAGGATTTCCAACCCCTTACTCTTAAGTCCAGGGGCTCGTTGCCGGGGGTCCGTGCTCGGGTGGTTGAAATGTTTTCTGCTTTTTTCCTTTTTGTTCCACCATCCTGATCCACTTCATTTCATCCAAAGTTTTCATTCTCTCCTCCAAAGCAAATACAGACTTAGGAGAATTAAAAACAATAATAAAAGTAGCTGAAAGTGCTGTTGATTCAAAATAAAAATACAAATACAAAGGTGTATCAGCAGGCCAGAGGCTGGTGGCCACCGTGTTCCCGGAGCTGGGACAAAGCTGGCTGTGGCTGGTGGCCGTCAGGGGTCCCACCAGGAGCTGGGACCTTGGATTTGTGAGGGGAAGGTCGTTGCTGACGGCCGACTCTGATCTCAGAGGGCTTTGGGTCAGCCTCCACACCTATTCCCTGAAGCGCCCACCCAGGCTTTTCCTACGAAATACCCAATTTGGATTGAGCTGCTCCTCTTCAGGCCTTTTCCCACATCTCTCCAGCCTTTTCAGAGCAGGTTTCAGCTGCGTTCCTGTGACATACAACACAGCTTTCATGGAAACGGAAGCGAAGACCCCTTGAGAGTAAGCAGGGGAGGTACGGACGTGACGGCTCCTTCGTGGGAACAGATGCTCAAATTTGGCATTTAAGGTCTCAGCACCATCAGAAAATCCTCTCGACTTCACCAACAGGAACTTTGGTTACACAAGGACCAAGCGGCAGGACATGCCCTTCCTCTGCAGTGGGGCTGTCTCCATCAGGGAATTCACCTGGACAGTTTGGGGATTCTTTCTTCTTATTTTAATTTTTGGACGAAGCTTTTAGTGTGTTCCCTCATGTCTCCTGTGCCCTGGTCCAAACCTGATCCAAATGAAGATTCCTCGCAGGGAAAAGGTGCCAGCACAGAAAGCCCTGGCTGCCCACGGAGTGCCCAGGCTGCGCCACACCCTGCACCTGAAAGCCAAACCTCACAACCTTTCTGTCCTGGGAAACAGGGCTGCTGCAGCACCAGGTACCTAAGGCATGCCCACCAGGGTGAGCTCCAGAAGACTGGTGTGCCCAGCTGCTGGAATGCCACCAGCTGTCACACTGAAACCACCAGGAGGTACAAATTAATCTCCACAGGGGATAGAAGCGCTTTTGCCATCTTTCCCAGGGTGTGTTTGATCTCGATAGTGTTGTTAATTAAATGTTGCCATGTTTGTGCCTGGGTGAGGCCCAGGGACAGAGGAAGGAGCCATTGTCACAGGGCTGTGTTTCGGGGACAGGGCAGGAGAAAATGCCGCCCCAGGAAACCCAATGAGCAGTGGAACAGGAGGCTCCTACAGAAGGATGGCAGCACTGAAGCATTAACTCTGTGTTCAGCACATCTCTGAACTACTCCACAGCAATTGCTCTCCCTAGGACCTCCTTTTGAACTACTTGGTGTAGTGTTTTTCTTCTAATAAGAACTTCAGATTCTCATATACTCATATGGTAAGTGTTAGGGAGTTCAAGCCAGTGTCAGACAGTGCTGGCTCTGGGATCAAGTAGGTGTTTCCAGAGGGCCTTTTGCTCCTTCTGGGATAGACATCACGTCTATGATTTAACTACTTAACAAGGTTCCTAGTTCTTTACCTGGGGCCTTTCACCACTCCCTCCAAATGCAAATCACCCCCTCTCCTTCCACAGTGGTTTCCAGGTCTCTGCCCTCACTGTCTGTGTACTGACCACAGGCAGCACCAGGGCTCTGTTCCTCAAGCTGAACAATGAACAGACCTTTAACTGTGGTCATTAATGGCCAACATTCTTCCATTCAGTCTTGAATTAAAATATATCACAATGTTTAAGCCAGAAGTTCCCTTTCAGCATCACAGGGGTAGTCTGGACTGTACCTGCAGGCAGAGTTAGTCAGAATTAACTGTTTGCATGTTCTCCATCCCAATTTTCACCTGCATTTCCTTTTGTATAGAATTTGATATAGGTTTGTTCCTGACAGGAGGGCATTTGCAAATTGTCTTGTGATAAATGATATGGTGACCAAATCAGCCTTCCATGGGATCGCAGTGAACCTTTCACAGTGCAAATATTGCTGCAGACTAATGACAAAGTGACTGTACAGCCCTTAGCCACGGAAAATTGCATCCCAAGGTTTGGTCAGCCTTACCTAAAGTGGTAATAAACACAGTAGAATATTTGTTGTATTTATAAAATTTAAAATTTGCATTTATGGGCACATAAACACATACTAATCTGTCTCTTGCCTCTCAGCTTCGACCAGAAAAACTAATAATAAACAGTAGCCTTTCCAGCCTGTTTGCAACAGGGTCAGGGAGCTTGTGGAGGTAGAGTTGCTCTGATATTTAATTACCAGGTCTGCAATTCTTCTAATAGAGCAAAAGAGAAATTCATAACACAGATCAAGGTCCAAGGAAGAGAAAGCCACGGCACGAGTTCTCCTTTATCCAGCACTTCCCTCCAAACAGTCCCTGAGTGAAGCCACAGAGCTCCCAGTGACCCACAGCTCCCCGGGCCCTCAGTCTGTGCCATCAGCCAACAGCCTCCACGTGCACAAGCAGCTGCTCCCTGAGCTGGGCTACTGGAAAGCATGGGATGAGCAGGCAGACAGGGGAAAGGAGCTGTGCATGTGTCAGTGCTTCGGTGACTTCCATGTGGTAGGTGACTGGCCCTAAAAGTACTAACAGATTTGCCTTTAAAGGCTCTCCACTCTGTTATAGAGAGGGGGTTTTTCCTCCTCACAAAACATCTCAGATAGAAATTTCCTGTTGTC